GAGTGGGGGGGGAGCAGGGGATGTCCACAAACTGCTTCCTGTGCCCAAGTATCCCTGGGTCTCCCTGCAGACACTCTTTCCCCTTCTGGAAGAGCTTGGCCTAAAGGCCACAGAGGCCAAGGTTAATGAGAGTGGCCGCCAGCACCCAGGGAAGGTTGGTGGCCATTTCCCATTGTGGTCAATGTCCATGGCTCATGCTGTTCCAGGCCAAGGTGCTGCTTTTCCTTGAAAGGCCCACTGCCTAACTCTTCTGCCTTGTGGGACAAGGTGAAGAAATCATTGTCTTCCTCCGTGCGGGCCAGACAGTTGCTCATGTCAACCCCAGGAGTTCAGAGCAAGGCTGGGCTCCTTCCCCCTACACCCTTCTTGGCTCACCTCTGGCAATGACTGGCCCTGGGAATTCCCCACAGAAGCAGGCTGAGCTGTCTGGCCAGGTTGTGGTTGGGAAATAAAGAAACCAGAGCTGTTGGGGATGGCTAGCCTGGCTTTTCTGGCTCCCTCCCCAACTCTCTTTCTGGCTTCCTCCTTCCCTCCCTCCCTCTGTCCCTGATGGTTGGCACCATGGGTTTTATTATGCAGGTGCACTCCACCCCCTCCCCTTCATGGCCCACAAACCATCTGCCCCAAGAGGCAGCCCAGCAAAGTGAGCCCCCCTCTGGTCGGGAAGCAGAGAGCCTGCCTGGCCTGCCTGGACGCTGGCAGCGAGGAAGGAGAAGATGGAGTGTTGGAAGTTTGTAAGTTTTTCCGAAGGGGTTTCCTCTACCAGGAGGGTGACTCTCCTGGGGGCCAGCAAGGGGAATCAGAGGCAACAATTCTGGCATCTCAGCGACTCTAAGACACCTTGGGTTGTATGTTGCCCCTAGTTTATCTGCCTCTGGAAAAGAAAACTAAGCTCTGCTCGAACTATGTCATGCCACTGATTGTAAGATGCAACCCAGATTTAGAGATGTTAAAACTCAAAAAAAAAAAAAAAAAAAGGGCGGAGAGGCCTTAGAGTCCACGAAATACAGAAACATTCTTTAAAACTGAGGCATCTAAGAATGGAATAGCACTTAAAAAAAAAAACCCAAAAAACCAAAAACCCAAACCAAAACAAAACAAAACCGAGGCATCACCTCTGCTACACACCCCCGAGACGCCCAACCACACAGGGCACATTAAGGCACAGTGGGTAAGTGTAGTCAAAACCCCAAAGACCCTTTGTGCTCTGAGAATAAGCATCGTAACTACCCTGTCTGGAAATAGGGCCCCTCTCTGACACCAAACAGGACTTTACAAAGCCATCTTTCTCCCTGGGTGTCTCACAGCCGCCTTGGAGTTGAGAGAGGTAAGATTCAGCCAAGGCCACCCGGGGCCTTAGAGGGGGCAGAGAACAGCTGAGTGCTACTGCAGTGGTTTCTTCAACTATCACATGACGACCGCAATCGAGGGCTGGTGAGCGTGGAAAGAAGTGACTTCCACGTCTTTCCTGATGGAGTTATTTACAGAACCTCAAGGTACCGAACGGAACAAAATTGGGAGTTGTTCCAGGTGAAGCAAGAGAAAAAGGCCAGAACCTCACACGCCCAGCCCCCACCCATCCCTCATCCCCAGGTGGCCTCTCCAGACCCCCTGTGTCTCTGAGGAACACTCTTCAAGTTTCCAGAGTGAGGGGGCTCCCACTGTCTCGGCAAGGTTCTTTTTATGAAGCTGAATTTTGGTATTATTCTTCAGACCTTTTTGGCAGGTCTTAAAAATCTCATTTGTAAGAGGCCCGGGAGTAGAGCATCAGGGCAAAGAGATGACTCCCAACCCAGCCTGGAAGCCTCAAGTGAAAACAAAACAAAAGTTTGCTTTGCATCATGAGTTGGGGTGAGGCCTGGGCACTGGGAGTGCGGTTAAACTCCTGCGGTGATTCTAATACACAGGACAATCTACAGGCTCCTGTCTTCATGGTTCTCTATCTCGTCAACTCCAATGTTCTCGAAATCTGAGGGTGTGTTCTGGACGGCACAGGAAGGCCCCTCCATTCCCAGGGCGGGCAGGAAACCCGAGAGCCCAGGGCCTCCTTCTAAAAATTTCCTAGGGAAGGCACTGGGGACTCCTGGAAAGTAGGGAAGAAACAGCCAAAGGGACAGCCTAAGCAGGCAGCACCCCTGCCAACCCCTTGAAGGCGAGGAGGGTGGGGAGAGGCAGGAGAGACCAGGGAGCAGAGGGGCAGCTGGGGAGGCGTCACTGGAAAGAACACCCACGCAGCTCACGCCACTGGCCCCGTGACCTATCAGAGCTTGGTCAAGGAAGCATCTGACCTCCTTGCCAAGACCTGCCTCGTCGCGAGACTCCAGGGCTACTGGCTGGCTGAGATGCAGGAGGAGTTGTGCTGAAGTGAGGACATCGGCTGCAAAGGGCCAAGCCCTCTGGGTCATCCGGGAGCCACAAGAGTGGCCTTCCCTGTCACCTCCCTGGCAGACGCTGAGCCCTCTTTGCCAGGCGGCTCAGACACCCCAGATGTGCCATCCAGATGCTGGGCAAACGCTGACTGGGAGGGGGGTGGGGATGGGCGGTAACAGAGAGTCCTTGACTTTGGACGAGGCCCGCCCTGTCCGTTGCCAAGGTTAGCAAACCACATATCCTTTGAATAAGCCACTGCGTTTGTCAGACTGACGTGGATCTCTGCCCCTCCACTGGCCTCGGCAAAGCAGGACAAGGGGAAAACTCAGTGGGGGGTGATCACGGTGTAACCATCCCAAGCCACTCCCTCCCCCTCAGAGGGGCTCTGGCCATGCCAATACCAACTCCGTGCACCCCAGGGAACAGAGGGGTGACCCTGGTGGGGACCGAACAGCTAGCAAAGATACAGAGAAGTTGGAATCCTTGGTCACCTTCCACCCAGGGCCCTGGGGAAGGCTGGGCACGGAGGCCCACACAAAGGCACACAGCTCCACATGGGAGAGCCCATGGGGTGAGGGACAGCTGATGTGGCAGGGTTCCTCCCTTGGGTGGCGCTGTGGCCTCCCACCGTGTTGCATCTCTCTGGGATGAGCTGGGTGGTCACTGAGCACCTGCAGTGGGAACCAGGAGCTGGACAGGAGCGGGGTGGCGGGGAGCAGGCAGCGGCAGAAGCCAAGCTGAAAGGTACCTAAGTCAGACCGGGGCTCAGGGAAGCCTGGCCCAGGAGCAGACACTTGAGCTCAGGCTTTTGGACAACAAGGGAGACTGGGGAGCTGAGAGACCCACGCAAAGAAAAAAGGCAAAGGGGAAGACGGCCAGCGGGAAAAGTGGACCAGGAGATGTTGGGAGCGAAGGGTCTCTCCCTGTGTGTGGTTCTGGGGTACACGGGGCTGTGGGGGCAGATGTTTACGGGGCCCAGGGAAGCTGTGCAGTCGGATCTGCATTTGTTGTCTGCAGTAGGGGGGGCCAGACTGGAGCAGAGAAGGCCCAGGGCAGAGAAGGCATGGCCTAGGTCACTGCCATCCGGCTCTTTCTGAAAAGGGAGACAGGTAGAAAGGCCATGTGACCCATCTTTCTGTCCTGGGCCAATTCTTGCCCCCCTTTACTCCTGTGCATTTCGGCTATATTCTGGGGTTCTCCCCGGGGTCACAGGATGGGTTTGGCTCCTCTGCTTTGCACATTCGTGGAGCTCCCCTTCCTCTCTCTTGCCTTCCACATCCCCACCTGGATCTACTCCCGCTCCTCTCGGGACTGGGGGGTCCCCGGGCAGGGGTTGGCCCAGTAATCTCGGCCCCCGCCCGGGGTTGGCCCAGTAATCGCGGCCCCCCCGAGACAGGCAGCGGAGTCCAGGGAGAGCACAAAGCACATGGGCTGTGGAATTTAACACCCAGCATCTCCTTTAGCTCAGAGACTGCTGTCTGGGTGTCTGCCCATCCACTGAGGACAGCATTACCAGCCAGCTTGGCCTTCTGCTGCAGGGATCACAGGAGGGAAAGTGTGTGCAGGGTAAATTTAGCGCCTTGCTGGGCACACGGATGTAGCCATCCTTCTACAGGTGGAGAACCGGGGAATGTGGCTCGGCCTGAGCTAGAGGTTCTGTGGCCCCAGAATTGCATGGCCCTGGCTTATTTATAGCCTGGCCCAGTGCACCTGGCGGGGCGGGGTACTGGATGAAGCCAGCAGATGTCCCCAGAAGACAGTCCCCGCCAAGAGCAAAAGACCTCCTGTGTCGCTGGTGGAAGCAGGCAGCATGCGTGGGAATTTCCGGGTGCGCGGCTCCCAGGGCAGAGCTGCCCTTTGGTGGTCCACCACGGTGTGGGGCGCGAATGGCCCCTTTGGTCTCCTTTTCAAAGCAGAGGGACTTCCGAGAGGGCTCTGGGAAGGAAGGCCAAGACACCTAGGTTCTCATAAATCTTTTAATGAGAGTAAATGAAGAAAACATTGTAACATTAAGTCCCATGGTCAGGGGGTCCTTTATTATTCGGGGATCTTCAACCACAGAAACACCTAAGATTAAAATTCTAGAATGCTAGGTACACAAATTAATGACCATTTATTTCCAAAGGTGACTGCAGAAACTTTCCGTACACAATCAAAGGCTTTTACAAAACAGAGAAAACACATTACCAAATGCCCCAGGGAAGTGGGCAAACTGGTTGTGGTGGGGGGTGGGCAGCACAGAGCACCTGAGAACCAGCTTGGCAAAAATAGTCCCCCTGCTGCTGTCTAGGGGGCTTGAGAAGACTGGTTCTACAGGGGGCCCCCAGGAGGGGGTATGCGGAGTGCCGGGGGTCTGCCCAGAACACAGCAGATTCACCTGGGGATGGGGAAGGAAGGAGGAGCGAGCCCAGGGCAGAGGCGTTTGCCAATTTCCTGGCAAAAATCAGACTATCTTATTCTCTCTACCACAATAACATGGATATAAATGAAGAATTCTTCATAGTACAAAACTCACACCCAAAGAAAGCCAGTTCCCAAAACAACAGCTTTGCTTGAGACGACTTTTGCTTTGCTTTGTTTCTTGCCATGAGGAGCAAACCAGTGAAAAAAAAAAAAAAAAAAAAGTCATAGACAAGAGCAACCACAAGTGACTAGGTTTTCCTGAGCACAGACTGGTTCACTCTATATACAGAAGAAGGCAGCTCACTCCCTCTCGCGGACTGTGCCCTGTCTGAGAAGGCAGGGCAGGGCAAGGCCTGCAGTGAAGGACCCCTCTCCACATGGGGGCCTGCTGATCTACCAAAACCAGCACCCGCATCTTGTCCCTCGTCTCCTCCCCTACTGCCCCCTCAGTCTCCCACAGAGGACAGAGAACTCTGGATCAAAGGCAACAAATCCAGGGAGGTCTTTTTGGCCCAGAGAGGGAGAGGAAGGGCTTTCTGGTACCCCCACCCCTACCATGCCCCAACACCAATGCACAGAGATAGACTGACAATTTGCTGTTGGTGAGGAGGAGGGGAACTGGGCCCACACCACACAACGCTGCGTTAGCAAGGAGTACGGACAGCAGAACCCTGACGGAGGCTAGGCTGGAGGTAGCAGACGGCAAAGTCAGCCGACCGTCCCGCTGAACCCCACCGTCCTCCAAGCAGACAAACGAACCCATTCCCGGGCCTCTGGGAAGAAGATGGGCCAGACCATATTTGGTGTATGGAACCAAATACTGGGAACAGGGATGGGGCTGTAAGCAGACGCTATCATCTCTGCTATTCTGAGCTGCTGCCTACGCTCTCAGACTCTCTCTCTCTCTCTCTCTCTCTCTCTCACACGCGCGCACATGTACACACACACGGTGAGCTCCCCCACGCTGGCAAATGGCATCTGAAAAGTTGGCCAAGGTGGCTAAGGAACCTCCTTGGTGCCACCAGGAAAGCCCTAGGCAGGAGCTGGGAAGCCTGGGCTCCCTGGCACAGGGGGCCACCCTCCAAGGCAGGCTGCCTTAGGTGCGCTCAGACCATGTCAGGTACTTGCCACACCCTAACCCCTTGAACAGAAGCCGCGGGTCCCCGTGCAGCCCGTGGACTTGGCCCACGCTCTCTTTCCTCTGCCTGCCTGTTTCGGAGCCCCCCTGGCCCTAGGGCTCCCCCCCAGCTCCCTCTTCCCCTGACCGGTGGAGCTGCCTCTGCCCCAGCCAGGCACATGGCTTCTTTCCCTTCCTTCTTTCCTTCCAAGCAGCAGAGAGGACCAGCCAGAATGGGGCACCGAGCCATAGCCAGGGAAAAGGCGAGCTTCTAGAAGCATGCCACCGCTGGAAAGACTGGGCTGACTGGCCACCCATGCCCCAAAGACAGGGAGGAAGGGTGAGCGTGCAGAGTCTCTGCGCCACCGTGGCATTTGGATGCCAAGCATCCACCTACAGGACTCCGTGTTCTGGAAGGAGACAGAACGTGCCGCCAGGGGCTCCTCCTGTGACCTCCTTTCCACCTCTCCTTTTGTAAAGAGCCAAGGGGCACTGAGGCCTTACGTGTTTTCTTATCAGTCATCCCTACACGCGGCAGCTCGATGATCACCAGGGTGGATCCAGCTGCTCAAGAGGGACCCCTTCCTGAGGACAACCCTATGGTGAGAGACGCTGAAACAAACTTGGCCAAGCCCTTGGGGGGAGGGAGAGGCAGAAAATGGAGTACGTCATGAAGAGCTCAAGGGGAGTAAGAGTACTGGGTGTTCTCCCTCTGGCTCCTCCACGTCCTGGGAACTGATCGTCCCCTGTGCCAGCAGCCTCTGCAGCAGGGCGGTTCCTCCCGCAGCTGCTTCCCAGACCTCACCTTGCTCCAAGAAACTCTCCTGTACCCTGTTGCCTTCTGTAGGTCTGTCTGCTCAGATCACGACCACTGAGTCACTGAAGCTCAATCTAGGTCTTTACAGTACAGTAATACCTGGAATACGGGACCCAGGCCAGGACTACGAGGTTGCCTAGAGTGGGGTGGGGGGTAGGGCCATCAGAGGAAGTCATCGAACCACCTTTTCTGTTAGGCAAACCTGTTCTTAGTTAAAACCCACAAGGAGTCAGCAAATGCCCAGCCACTAGTTCTCTCCTTGAAGTCTGTGTGACTGAGCTCAAGTCTTTGTGCCAAAGGTCTTCCTTTTGAAGCACTTGAACCTGCACCCATGGGGACCTGATTTCTTCGTACCTCCTTTGCAACCCAGACATGGGCTTTGGGGGTGGACCAGGTGGGCACGGAAGTGTGTGATGCCCCTCCATGTGAAACAGTTCGGCATGGAATCTGGCTGAGGTCATGATACAGGATCTATCCTGTTGATGATACAGGATCTGTATCTTCTCCCAACCCAGGATGCTGACATAGCCTGTGAAAGCACAGAATACATGGATAGGAGCCCCTGTGGAGATGGCCCCTGACCCAACGATTCTCTGAGTTCAAACATCCAAAAACAAGGGAGCAAACAAATTAAAAAAAAAAAACAAATCCAAAAAGCAAAAAACCCAACTCCAGCTCACCCTTCCCTGAAGCTGCCTTTTAGAGAGAGAGAGAAATATTTAAGGGGTATTCAAGATTAAAATGGCATCTACTATCAAACATTCAACTAAAATGGAGCATATGATTCAAATCACAGTTTTCTCAAGTTATCACTTCCACTGATTAATTTCTAACGCTCACTTCTAATAGGGATATGGGTCACTTTTTGGCTCCCTCAGGCAGAATTTACCCAGGGTCCTGCCTAGTAAGAGTGGTGGATATTTTCAACTTGTTCACTTTGGATCTGCTATCCCAACAGCTCTCCATTCCCCTCAATGGAATCTAGCCTTGGGGCTAAGGAGTGCCCCCACCTCCCACCACAGGCAGCATCTTGGAGGAAGTGGCTGGTTGGCTGCTTGCTCTGAGTCATGGGACACCAGTGGGAAGACTCTGGCAGGTTCTATTTTGGCCACGAGCTGGGAAAACCCTTGGCTCTCGGCTTGCCGCTGGTGTAGAAACAAGGCCTCGGTCCCATTATGGTGGGGGCTGGGCTGGAGACAAAGGAGGACCCCAGAGTAAGCCTGGAGGTCCCTGGCAGTGGAGAAATGAAACCCAACCCAATCTCGTCACTTCAGTGCCAAGAGAACTACTGCTTGTTGTTCCCCGTCCCCTCAACCAGCTGTCATTAAAGCACCAACAAGCAGAGTGAAAACCACTGACTACCGTCGCCCACGTAAGGCCACTAGGAGCAGGGAGGAAGAGCCAAAGGGGAGGAGGAGGAAGAATCCAGCCCTTGGCACGATCCCCCACCCCCAGGCTCCAGGAGATGTCCTGGGGGTTAGAGCTGGGGAAGGAAGCGCGGTGGAAGAAACTGACAGAGAGGAGGGGAAAAAGAAATACACCAAACATCCTACTGCCCTCTCCCCATGATTTCATCAAGAACTGGGTGTTCCCCAAGTCAAGTCAGGACTTGCTTCCTCAGGGAGAAAAAAAAAAAAAAAGACAAGCACCTTCAGTCTATTTTCTTGGCTGGAAGCCGGAGCAAATCCAGCAGATATTTACACAAGGGCCCAGCCATGTATGAGAACAGGATGACCAGCTTCCCGTGGGTCATGGTCATGAGAGTCTGGTGTCCCGAGGCCCAGATGCGATACCAGGGGCCGTAGAATGGGTCTGAGATGGCCGGACACAGCATGTTGTTCAAATTCACTTCGGTGACCTGCAGGGACAAGGGAGGTAGAGTGAGCGTTCACCATCCTGAGGCTTTCTCTGGCTTCTGCCAGTTCAGCCATCTCTACCTAATGGGGGGGCTAGACAAGGAGGGATTGACCAATCCCCACCTGTTCATGATGGGATTTCTCTGCCCTAGGGTTTTGGGGGTCGGTCAAGGCTAGAGCCCTTGGGAGGCGATGGGGGAGGCCATCCAATGGAAAAGCTGTTTGGCGTTGCTCAATCTTGCCTTCCCGTTGGGTCCTGAGCCTGCCGTCATTCCTAAGCATCTACCACGTGCCTAGTCCCCGGAGAGGTGTCAGGGGATGACAGAGCAGTCAACGACATGGTCCCTGCCTCCACTTATAACTGGCCACCAACCGAGTCGGTGTGGGCAACCATATCTGACCTCAAACCAGACGGTGCTCACCAGGTTTCCCCCACCAGGAGATCTGGGGGGAGGGTAAAGAATGGGCACTGAGTTCTCAGAGAAGATTTCATGAAGGAAGTGGCACCCTGAACGGACTCATGAAGGATGGATGGGGGTCATGGCGAGGAATGGAGCGAGCAGGGCCTTCCTTGTAGGAGGCACGGCCTGACCCAGGCCTACAGGTGGGACTGAGCATGGTTTGTATGGTGACATGAGGACACGGACCCCTCTGGAATCAAGCAGTCCCAGTGGAGAGCGCTGACAGCCAGGTGTGAAAGTCATCCTGTTGCCTTCCTCAAGTGTGGGAGCATTCATGCCACTGGCCAAGAGCTCCAGCTGTCCCCCAGGCAAACCAGAGCAGAGCAGAATGCCAGGGTGGGGAAGAGAAAGGGACTGCTCCTCTAGAGGCACTGGTGACCTCGGTCATGTGCCTTAGTCCGGCCAGGCCCCACGAGGCTCCACACAGCTGATGCTGCATTCATGCCGCTCACACACAAAATCAGACACGCTGCTCCCGTCCCAAAGATGGCTGCGGCACCTGCCTTCCACAGCCCTTCCAGCCCATTCACGTTAGAGACAAGTCCTCACCACCTCTTCGGGAGGCTGGCGGTTTGGTTCCATGTCTCAGAGGGGGGCCAGCTCTCTGCCCTCGAAGGGGAGGTGACTCACCCAGAATGGTGGCAGAGCCGGGACTTGAACTGGGTCTCCTGACCCACCACAGGCCCGAGTTCTTCCTCCTTCACTTTGGCACCAATATAGACAACCATGCACTCAGCAATGTTGGGCTCTGGATAACTCAACTACTGAGTCCAGCCTTCATCCACGCTCCGGGCGGGTCTGAACACCCCAGAATACCATGGGAGTCCCTCCGACACGGCACTTCCACTGGCCACACAGCTCAGGGCCTGGAAGTCGGCCCAGAATGGACCTAAGGTTGGAAACCTCCTCTCCAGGCCCAGGCCAGGTGGAGGTCCTGCCTTCAACCCCCCACGGGGTATATAACAAACCACTTTCCAGCCGCAGCTCGCTGTTTGCAACCCAGGTGGTCGTGAGCGAAGGGCATCTTTGCCTCCCCAGGGATGAAAGAAACGGTCAATCCTGTAGATTTCCGAAAACCCTTTGGGGAGGCCCAGGCCATGGAGCATAAATCAGCAACCCAGACACAACAATCTGACATCCTGGCCTTTGGCATCTTGTATTTTCGAAACAAAACGATACACCAGCGCCAACCAGGATTATGAAGATTTATGGAGAACTCCACACAGAGGGGAATCGGAGGGGAACAACCAAACTTACCAGGCCCAGGATCTGTAAGATGCTGAAGTGGTAAAAGAACATGAGGCCAGTTGAGAGAAGGGCCCACCGGAAACTGCTGAGGGGCTCTGGGGTGTAAGCACCTGGAGGAAAAGGGGACATGGTGAGACTCACTTCTCCTTTGCTCCTCAAGGTTACAGGTGCCGAGGCCGCAGCCACCGCTGGCCAATTGCCCCCTGTCACTACTTAGAAGATGGGCCCGCTGACATGCCGGGGCCATTTTGGAGGAAGGATTTTTTTTTTTTTTTTGATGATGAAAGGAATGCATGATTGTTAGAGGAAATTTAGAAAATGTTATGGGAGTGGCAACGAGATGGGGAAAATGTAGAACAACACATCCCCAGCCCTCTACTCCCCACATGCGGCGCTGCTGGCTTGTGGGTGTGCAAGCCGGCTGGACTGCCCTATGCCTCAGGAGTTGGTTTGCTTTTCTTCTTCTTCTTAATTACTAATTGGAGTCTAACTGTATATATAACCACGCATCCTTCCCTTTCACATTGACTTTCGTCCTTCCCTCACGTTTCTAAAGAAAGAGCTCTTTGAGGAAGTGTGCGGTATGGTGGTTGGAAGGGTCCACTTTCATGGCCCACGGATTTGGGCTCAAATCTAGATTCTACCACGTCTGGGCTATGTGGCCCTGGAAAAGTTGTGGAAACTCCCTAAATCTCAGTTTTCCTGCCTGTAGAACGAGGATACCAGTCCTACCCACTCCTTAGCACTGTGGCAAGGAATGAAGGGAATAAGCTACCGGATGCTTGTGGTCTAGACTTGGGTACCATGTGAGTGTTCCACGGGTGTGAAGTGCTACCATGAGCACAACATGATCATGCTTCCAATAACGACAGAATGTGCTGTATCCAACGGCTGTTCCATTTCCCAATCGTTACCCAACTCCTTCCCCTGCCCCGGAACAGCAAGAATGATATATTTTCCCTCTAGCCTCCCTAGGAACGAGCCTCCTGGGAGGCTTGGATGCATTCCAGAGCTGGCAGAGCTGGAGTATGGCTTATAGGATGCTGTGGGGTGTCACTCGGAATGGAAGGCTTGGAGATGGGGATGCTCCAGAATGAAAGGAAGCTGGAACCCTCCATCCCAAGCAAGTAGGTGGCAACATTACACCCCGGAGTAGTATCTTCCCAAGTCAGTCTTTCACTGATTCATCCATTCATTCACCAGTTATCAGGCACCTATTACGTTTCCAAGCTCCGTGCTAACCTTTGAGGTATAGGAAGATAAAGAAGACAGGCTCCCTACAATTCCAGACTCCTAGTCTGCGGGGGGAGGCAGACATGCCAATCGACAATTAGAACCCAGTACAATGGTGGGATGCCTGTGTTCTGTGCCCCATTATCAAGGGAGGACAGAACTCAGCTGGAGGCAGAGGAGGGGGGAGGAAGATGTAGGAACAAGGACTGCTTCTCAGTAGATGGGGCACAGAGCAATCCCGAAGGACCAACGGGACTTAACCAGCGGCCCAGGCATTCTAGAGCCAGAAGCTTGCACAAAGGCAGACATGCAGACATGAGCCCTGAGTGTAAGGCAATTCAGAGAACTATGGGTAAGAGTTGGGGCCGCAGTGGAGGGTGTGGCGGGGGTGGTGAGCAGGAGTAAGATTCAGATGTTGGTTGAGGGCTGGCTTGGGCTTCAGCCCACACCTGCAGGGTCATGAGCCCCGATGCCACAAGGCTCAGGTAGGCAACTGGGAGAAGAAAGCCCGTGCCCCTTCTAAAGATGGCAACCACCACTCGGCTCCATCCAACCACTGCCCCACTGGAACATGTTCCCAGAGTTGCCAGTTTTTTCAGTTTTGCAAGAGGAGCCAGAAATACAAACCTGTGTGTGGCATTTCCTTTTTTTTTTTTTTTTAAAGATTTTATTTATTTATTTGACAGAGAGAGATCACAAGTAGGCAGAGAGGCAGGCAGAGAGAGAGGAGGAAGCAGGCTCCCTGCTGAGCAGAGAGCCTGATGCAGATGCGGGGCTCGATCCCAGGATCCTGAGATCACGACCCGAGCTGAAGGCAGAGGCTCAACCCACTGAGCCACCCAGGTGCCCCAACAAAACATGTCTTCTTGGATGGATTTCAGTGCATGGATGGCGAGCTCGGAACTCTGCTGCCAAGCCACAGGAAGGAGCAGGAAAGTGATGTGATCAGACATGTGCTTGACAAAGGTCCCGCTGGCTGGTGCAGGGGAAGGACTGGAGCAGAGAACATCGAGGCAGGGAGACGGATAAAGAGGCTGCTGCAGGAACCCAAAGAGGGAAAGGGACAGACGTCCCTCAAAGTTCATAGAGGAAGGGCTGGAGAGAAGTGGAAGAAGATCTCAGCAGATGTGAGTCATGCATGCTGGGGAGCAAGGATGAGGACAGACAAATCTAGAAAGGCCTCCAGCTTGGGCCTCATTGGGTTGATGGTGCCATTGATTGTGATGGAGAAGAAAGGGGAAGGCAAGAGGATGCAGAAGGCAGGGAGACGATGAGGCCAATTTCAGACATATTGAAATTGAGGCATCTGCGGAATATCCAAGTGGACACGTCTCGGTCAGTTTCACTCATCTATAAAATGGCATGCCACTGCCCACTTCATAAGGTTGTTGGGTAGATGAGATGACTTAATTTAAGTCACGTCACACACTCAATGGAGAAGATGGGGCTGAACATCCAGATGTAGGTGTCAGCAGCACCCACTAGCTACTAAAGACACAAGGGCACATGTGGACTGGGAGAGGAAGGCCAGAGGCAGAACACCAAGGAACACCACAGGGGCAGGGTGGGGTAGGGTATGGCAGGAAGAAGGAGTGAGGTGGGGTGACTGAAGCCAGGTAGGTCTTCTGGGGGAAAAGCTCGGGCTTATTATGGGTACATGAGCCAGGCTCACAGCATCTGTAAGTCACAAGGCCCTTGGAGGGCATCAAACTCATTCTTCCAGGTTAGAGTTGGAGACACCAAAGGCCAGGAGATTTGTGGTGCCACAGCCAAAGTGAGAGCGGGGCGCTGGGCTCTCAGACGCTGCCAGGCCGCTCACTGCTCAGTGCCCCTGTTGCTACTTGTCCAGACCACCACCACACCAAGTCATAAGGTCTCTTTCCTTGTCTGTTTTCCTCTCTGGACCAGAGCTCCATGGGGAGGGGGCCCTTGTTGGATTCATTTCTGTGCCCCTAGCATCTAGAACAGCGCTTGGCTTGCAAAAAGGCAGCTGCGCACTGAAACTTTGTGCACCTTCCTGTCTGCTGAATGAGTGGGAATCAGGCACCATGTTGTCTCCCTGGCTGCTGGAGTGTTAAGGGGAAGAGCGGACCTGGAGGACCCGCAGGTGCCTCTCAAGGCTGGAGCTATTTCCCTCCATCCTCTGCTTGGCTCCCCCTAGTGGCAGCTGGGCAGCAGTGACTGGTCCTGTGGGCCACGGGGCCCCTGGAGGAAAAGGACAGGAGGGGGCAGCCAGGAGGTCCTCAGCCTCGAGGTAGCTCAGCCACGGACCTGGGGAAAGCCGGGATGAGGCCCCTTTCCTCATCACGCTCCTCCCTGCCCCGCAGTCCCTGCCACACGCTATGGGGGAGAGGCACACTCAGACACAGCCAGGGGTCCACGTTTTCACTGCCCCTTGCCCCAACCCCCACTTTCCTACAACCACTTTGGGTTGCCCCATCCTCCCCACACCAGATTGTCAGTTCCATGAATGAGGGGCCATTTCGGAATCCCCCCTTTACCTCCAGAACCTGGTACACAGTAGGCACTGCAAAATTCAGCCCGGTGTGAGTGATCGAACGGCAGAACCCCTCCGGAGAAATCATCAAACTCTTTAAAAACCTTTGGCCTGGCAATCCTACTTTGAGGACTTCCGTCAAATACCTAAAGAACCCAACAGACCACCCTTATTTGCACAAAGATATTTACACCTGCGCCACCTGTAACACTGAGGACGTGGAAACAAACCAAGTGGGGAGATAAGGTGACCTCTGGCCCCTTGGTATTGTGCAACCGCCATTCAAATGACAACCAAACCATGTGCGTGAGGAAAAGTCCCCGGCTGGTAGTGGCAGATGTCGAAGGCAGAACACCAAACAACATGCCAGTGATGGAAAATAGAGCTGAAGAGGTGAAAACAAAGGGCTTGGAAGTGGACAGCCCTGGGTGTAAATCCCCTGTCTGCCACTGCCTGGGGTCGGGGCAGGGGGACAGCAGCGGGGCGGGGGGGGGGGGGGGGGCCTGGGGCAGATCCTGTTGCATTGCCCTCTCGGACCGTTTCCTGTATGAAGACTGGAGGTAACAGCCACCTCTCAGGGCCATAACATCTACCTCTCAGGGCCGCCAAGTAGAATAAGAGATACAGAAAAGTAAACAGAGCAGCTTGCTTGGCACACAGCAGGCGGCTGCTACTTTTATCATGGAGAAACCGCAGCCACATCCAAAATCTCCAAAAAGACTGGGAGAAGCCAGGGAATCTTGCAAATAAGTGATCTTCTCTGTGAAGGGCTGGGGGAGGGGGGCTTGCCTACGGTTTCCACTGTCTTTTCACTGTTGTTGGTTCTTTTCATTGTGCAGATAATCAAAGATTCAATTTCTCAGAAACTAAAAAAAAAAAAAAATGATCCACCCCACATAGATATATGCAAATGGTATGCACAAGTGCGTCATTTTTTTTTTTTTTCTCCATATACCTGAATGTGGCCCTTGGGATAATCCGAGTGAAAAACCAGTTTTCTTCTAAAGGAAAAGAGAAACTTAAGCACTTTTGGAAAAATTAAACACATAAAACTTTTTTTTTCTACTCCAAGAAAGAAATGTGACATTTTTCTGCTAGCATCGTGCATCCCAGGAGGATAGAAGCGTTTCATCTCTAAAGGTGGGGGGAGCGAAGATAATAGCTTTTTCTGAAATCGATTTCTGCCAGAAGGAAGCATCACACGTGCTGGGAAAGAAGTCACCTGCACCACCAGCAGCAGCAAAGACAGATCCCGAGAGGCCTCCCAGGGACCATTCTCCCATCCTATAATCCCACCCAGGAAGGACTTAGACCAAGGAGTTGAGGCTGGGCAGGGTGGCATCCTGTTCTCCCGTCTCTGTCCTGCTTCCTTTGACCCAT